CGACGGCCTTATAGCTCGGCTAAATATGCACAGTTGCCAGATTCAAAAAGACTTGAATTGACATCCTATTATTTTCATTGTGTATAATGCAGTATGTGTTTCTATCTTCTTTTCTTGTCAGATACACTTATATTAATTATTCCTTTGGCTATTAAAAAGTTTTAAGTATATTATTACAAAACATATACATTTTTAATATACACTAACTTATAACGTTAACTAAGAAAATACCTTTAATTACCTTTAAAATTAATAATATACAGGGCGATTGATAGTGATATTTATTAATGCTGGAACGTTAGTAATGAAATATAAGTTTAATAATAATGGAAATAATTTATTAAAATGCAGTACAAAAAATGTTAACTGACTAAAAAATACTATAACAAATTACTTCCGTTTGCCACGTTATTTATATAGACCTAGGTAGATTTTAAAAAGTGACACAGATACAATTAATAATATATTAGTTCGGCATAAAAGTTGCTGTCACGACATCGAACAATAAATTAAAATTCGTAAAATAAATTAAAATTATTAATTAAACAAATCTTTATAAAGAAACGCAAGTATACCAAATTTGGGCCCAATCGAACTCCAGGAAATGATATCATAATAGTGTACTATATTATGGTACCACTCGATATACTTTAAGGTACCATAATATTGCAATGTTTGATATGCTTCTGAAAAAAAACGGCGTCCAGTTAGCTGGAAAAGGACGATCGATGACATTTCCCATATAAATTTACATATAAAATGACAGTGATATTCATTTCATAGCTATCGCTAACGCCGTTTTTTACCCGATTATAAAATATGAACTTGGTATGAACACAATCGAACGTCAGGAAGTGGTATCATAATAGTAGAACAATACTTATTATATTGTCGCCGAATTACAATGAAAATTCAGGATTCAATTATACAATCAAACGTCAGGAAGTGATTGTAATTTAGCTCATAAGATTTAATTCCAACTAACATGGCAAACTGAAAAAAACAGCTCTGATCTATTTTAATATGTTTAAATGATGTAGCAAATTTGAAGGTAGGCTTTATCAGGAAGTATTACGATATGAATTACACAATGGCAACACTGCACAAAATTCTTTTAAATTTTGTTTGTAGAAAACTGTTTTCTTTTAAATTTATTGCCCTCTATTATGTAGTAGCGAAACTACCACATCAAAATATCTGATTTGGAGACAGACTTTTAAAGCCTGTCTCCTTTTGCTACCTACAATTTTATACATGTAACGAGGCTTCTGTTGCGTAGCTAGATATTCTGTGCTATTAGGATCGACAAAAAAAATTGTTTTTAATTTCACTCAAAATGGGTTATTTGGGTCATAAATAACCTAAATACAAAATATTTTCGTGGTGTGTGTCTGTCTGTCTGTCTGTCTGTCGTCTGTAACACGATAACTCAAAAACCGCTTAACCGATTTTAACCAAATTTGGCACAAAAATACTGTGGCACCCGAGAATCTGACCATTAGTTTATGGTGAGGGTGGGGGGTTGGTAAGGGGTATGGGAGGGGGTTAAAAATTTTAAAAAATCGTAACTCCAAAATTACAGTAGCTAGCGAAACGCGTTTTTTTTTAAATGAAAGGTATATATGTCTAGATTTGTTATGAAGTATTTTTAAATTGTTGAATGGCTATTTCTTTGTGTAAATCGACTAAATATTAAAACAAACCTGATAAACACCTACACACAATACCTCCAGAAATAAATTATTTGTCATTGTCAGTGGTTTGTCAGTTAGATTATATATCAAGATTTTAGATAATTTAGGGATCAGTTCATACAGCCAGCTTTAGATACATAAATATTAGAACAATGGTTCGTTTAAACGACATTAGTGAATTAGCTACAAAAAGCGATTTTAGGAAATTCATCCTCTTAGAGAGTAAAATTATGTCGGAACAATTTGTTGTATGAAAATTCCTTACTATGTGGTCTAGAAGAATGAAATCCTACAAAAGAATTAGAAGAGATTTTTGAAATTCATCAACCAAATGGGTAAAGTTAGTAAAAATTTATATAAAACTTGGTGACCTCTGAATTATACACATAAAAATTGGCACAAAGGATCATTTAAAAGACATGAGTTAATTATTTGGATAAAGCGATTTTATGAAATTTATAATCTTAGGGAGTAGAATAGGGAATGAAAGTTTGCTGTACGAGAATGCATTACTATAACATCTGGCAGTATAAAATTTTATACAAGGGTTTATTTATCAATAATATAAACTTCTATATTTCTTCTTCAATTATCCTTCAAGGAATAAAAAATAACTATAAATGGAGTATTAGTGCTCTTAATAAACCAAAAAAAGAAATGAAAAATAAAAAAAAATATCAAGGGAGTATATTAAGTAAAGCGACAATTGAAAATTTCAAATATTCATTTGAAAACTTCATATTTCAATACTGTTTTAGTAATACAGTTTATATGGGACCATAGGTAGGGGTTCTATCTATAGAGTAAATAATCATTTCAATTATTTATTATTTTGGAGAGATTTTATTTTTTCAGATTTTGCAAAATTTTTTTGAAATTGACTTTGGTTCGATTTCGAAAATAATCTATATATAAATAAGAAATAAAAACCGCCCTGGAAGATCGCCATCCACCCTCTATCCAACCATACATAATTAGTTTCAGTCAATGGAAGTAGTTAGAAAAATTGAAAAATTGTTAAAAAGCAAGATTTCAAAAACATTTTGTGGCCAAAATTGAACTTCTTTGAAATACTTTGATTTCGATAACTTCTAGAATTATTAAGATTTTTTATTTCAGACGACTCTAATCAAAAGTTTTATTTTTGGTATACAAAGTGTGTCATAAAGTCATATACAGGCGATGAAAAAATAAAAAACGGTTTTTAAGTTTTCGAATTTTCTTAAGTACATAATAATATTTAAAGAGAATAAAAATGCTCTTGAAATTGGAATATTGACGGCTTTTTATAAATTTTAAGTAAAAAATAGGTATGTAATTAGTCAAAAATGACAATTTCGATTTTTTGTCGAGCGAGTCTTAAATAAGTGCAATTATTCTTAGCGGTAGTAGGTATATTTGACCCCAGAAACACGATTATGAGTTTTTTCGCGAAATTTTTTTGGAAATTTGGAATTTTTTGAAAAACCTTGGGATTTTTTTTTAGTTTTTAGTTAAAGAGTTAGTTAAGTTTTTTAGTTTTTAGTTAAAAATCATAATTTCTTGATAATATGGCAACATAGATAGGTTTGGTTTGGTTTGGTAGATTAAATTTACAAGACAGAAAAACCCGAAAAGCTGCAGTGGCTCTCAAAATTTAAGCAAAAAATATTTTTTTTTGGAAATTTTTAAAGTAAAATAACTCAGTTATTTTGGAGTTATTTGAAAAACGGTAAAGAGAAAATATGATTTTTTATCGAGATCTACCAGCCCTGAAAATATTTGCACATATTCAAGATTTGCCCTGTATAATACCCAAAAAATCGACAATTGATAACTTTCATATGAAATACGAGTAGCTCTAAAACTCTTAAAAACATAGTTTCAATAGGGCATTTGTAAGGCTCACTAGCTCTATATACAAAGTAAATAATTTAAATCAATGCATGAACTATTCGAGGTGTAACGCGAACGTAGTCGCGGCAAAAACCTAGTTTATAATAACATCAAAATCAGTCAAAGTCGCAGTTTTCGAGATATTAACATATTTTAGTATGGGCGGCTATACGTGCCTCCCGGCGCCAATTTTTAAGAAAAAATGCGTTTTTTGTTAGAATTTCTGCCGTAATAAAAGTCCATACTTTTTTTAAATATAAATCTACTGAAATTCTACTAGCTCAGAATATTTAAAATAATATTTTGATAAATTTATTCAACATAATATTTATTTCAAAATTACTTAGAGAAAAATATAATGTTCCTTTCTACATAAAATATCGACAGAAACTTCAAAATGAACGTCTTAAACGAAGGGATTATATGAAGGAAATTCCACTAGCTCTTGCCGGATATTGAGAGTCCGAGCTGATGCATAACAATGACGTAGCATCCTGAATCTGACGGCCTTTAAAGGCTATTAGATAACAAAGTGGTAAGCATATGGTGGGAATTTGAAGAAAGATCCTTTACATATAGGAACAAAATTGAGCAAAAGTTCAATTTTACTTAGTAAAATAGATTATTATCTGAAAAAAAGATTAATTTAAATTTATATTTTATAAACCCTTTTATATAAACTATTCTTTTAGGTTGGTTTTGGTTTCTCCCCCGGAGTTATTTTACTTTGAAAATTTCCAAAAAAGAAATGATTTTTTGCTAAAATTTTGAGAACCACTGGATCTTTTCTGGATTCTCTTTCTTGTAAATTTAATCCACTACCTATGTTGCCGTATTATCAAGAAATTATTTTTTTTTAAATAAAAACTAAAAGAAATCCAAAAAATTTTCAAAAAACTTCGAATTTTCCAAAAAAAAAAATTGCGAATTACCAGTTAAAATAGTTGCACATATTTCTGGGACAACCTTTATATATTTCGTACAACTATTAATATAGTTTGGGATCTTTACTACCAGAAATCAACAGAGGGATTAAGTTAGCATGGAGTATATATGGACGAAACTCAATCATATTCAAATCTAGAATCTTGGTTTTTCCCAGCATATTTCGTTACAATGAGCGTTGTGTGATCTGCAGTTTCCTTATAATGTCGCTTTTAAGTGTCCAGGTTTCGCATGCATAGGTCATGCTGATAATACACATTTGTCGAATGTTTTCTTCTTTAGATAAAGCTGTTACTCTATTTAAAGAAAAAAAAAACATTCAATCATGGTGTACTACTAGTCATGACATATGCTTGCAAAATCTTTAACAATTAAAACCGACATTACAAGGAAATTGCAGGAATCGCGGAGCTCTTCCGAGTATGTCTGATTGGTAGTTATTTCTTATGGAACGGCAATTATTACGAACAAACAGAAGGTGTCGCAATGGGCAGTCCAATCAGCCCAATAATTGCTAATTTATTTATGGAGAGATTTGAAGAAAAAGCGCTAGAGTCATCCGTTCTGAAGCCCGCTGTATGGTTTCGTTATGTGGACGATACATTTGTGGTTTGGAAACAAGGACGTGACAGCCTAGATGACTTTTTTCATCACCTTAATTCGCAGAGCCCGAGCATAAAATTCAGCAAGAAAACCGAAGTAAACAACCAACTGGCCTTCCTCGATTTGCCTGTCAAGAGAAATGGCGACCATTTGGATCACACGGTGTATCGAAAACCCACTCATACAGACCGGTACTTACACAAACTATCAAATCACCATCCAAGCCAAAAACAGGGGATTATCGGAACATTAGCAAATAGGGCAAGACGTATCTGTGCTAATGAACACATCCAAGAGCATAACTAAGCCATTTAAATAAAGCCTTTCTTGCCAATAGCTATAATGACAGAGAAATAAAGGCGGCGCTGGCGCCTAGGCAGAGGAGACCTGACGTCAATGAACAGGAAAACATCATTAATAAGGCCTTCCTTCCATATGTTTCCCAGGTCACCGATAGGATTAGTAAAGTTCTCAAGAAGCATAACATCAAAACCATATACAAACCTACCCGAAAAATAAGGGACTGCTTAAGACCAGCCAAAGACAAAAGAGAACCATTATCCTCTGCAGGGATCTACCGTATATCTTGTTCTTGCGGTAGCGTATATATTGAAACTACCAAACGCTCAGTAGAAACGACACTTTCGGAACACAAGAGAAACTGCAGATTAGGGTAAACAGAGAAGTCAGCCGTAGCAGAACATGCTCTAAGAGATGGTGACCATAAAATCCAATTCGAAAACACCCAAGTCATTGCCACAACATCTGGATATTATCCTCGTCTGGTCAGGAAAGCTGTTGAAATTCAAAAACATTCAAATAATTTCAACAGGAAAGAACAAACTTTCTACCTTAACAGAATTTGGCATCCAGCTATATCTAGGACCAAAGTAGCAGCACAGAGAAGTAGACCAGTTCCGGAAGAACTACCACCCGAACAACCCCACATATTAGCAGGAATAATAGCTGACCATTCTTCGGCGGCTGATTCCTCGGAGGTGGACTTTTTTTAGTGGGTATCAACCGAGTCCCACACTGTCTAGGGGTTATTTCTAGGACCGTCTCTCTCGAGATGGTTATGGAAATGATCACTATTCGTCTATAAAAGATTTTTCAACCACCCCCTCACCAAAAAAAAGCGTTAGGAAACGTTAGGAAGCAATTCTAACCAACGACGGCCTAAAAACCCGAAAAACAATTTTTTTTTCAACAGCTTCCCTGACCAGACGAGGATGATATCCAGATGTTGTGGCAATGACTTAAGTGTCTTCGAACTGGATTTTGTGGGAATGTCGGAATTTTTTAGGAAGCAATTCTAACCGACGACGGCCTAATAACCCGAAAAACCAAAATTCTTCAGGTTAATTTAGTTACTAAAAAGCATCTGTTTAACAACTTTGTTATAAACTGTTATTTTATCAGTTACCTACCAACATTTATAAGTAAAACTAAGTTACAAAGAGTACATAAGGAGATTTAGATATGTGGTAAATGTGTTTAAGGTTTTTTAGTCCTTTCGAAACTCCACGTTCGATTCGGGGACCGAACTCCAACTTTCCGTTAAACCGCGACAGATAATAATCCGTACGCGGCGCATTTAGAAACAGAGAAAATCCATTACAGAATTCTAAGAAGTTGCAGATCAAGTAAAAGCAGCTACGAGTGCTTTTATTTTCTAGGGATAGAAACTCCAGCTCGAAACTGTTTTATTTAAAACGATCCTTTTTTCGTTTTTTATCGACGTTCTTGCTCAATGCCCGATGGGAATTTTGTCATAAAATTTCGTAACGTTCTCTATCTTTTATTTAATCCAAAGTTCTGCAAAATAACTGTATTATTAACACAGTAATTTAAAAAAAAATAATTTGGTTGATATAAATAATTCTTTGGTATTTAAAAGCATTGTTCCTCTTTGTGTTTGTCATTTTTTGTCATCACATTTTATTACTAAATTTGTGAGAAAAAAAGTCACAAAAGGAAAATTATTTTATTAGAAATTAAATTATTACTTATTTCTATTTGTTTGTAACATAAAAGTTCTAAATATGTTAAACAATAAAACAGCTAATGTAAAATATTAAAAAGTATGTTTGGAGATAGTAATTTAATAGTTATTTTTTATACAAGACGATAAAATGGTATTTTATCGTCGACCGAAAAGATTAATTCACGAGCGATGAAATCGCGAGTGAATTAATTTTGGGAGACGATAGTGCAATTTTATCGTCGTTTATAAAACATTTTTTTTCCATAGCGAGTTACGTTTTAAAAAATATTCAGAAATTATTATTTCAAGGAATTTATTACGAGTGTAAAAAATATCGAGCTGGGTTGGCATTGGTTTCTATGTAATTTGACAAATAAATAAAGTTGTCTCTTTAGTTGACAGTTTTAAGTCAATATTTTTTAATTCTGTATCGTGTCGATTGCTGATTGACTTGGAGTCAGAAATGGCTCAAAACGAAATAAGTAAATTACCAACAGATATTGAGGCTGAGGCGAAAAACGCCATATCCAAACTACTTCCATTTAAATCCCGAATAACTTATGAAAACGAATACAAAATTTTTTAAAAATGGACAACAATAATTAAAAAACGTGCGAGAAGAAATAAAGTTTTTATCCTATCCTCGCTGTTAAAGTATCATTTAATCTACCCTTGCGGTTGAAGTACCATTTGATCTACTATTTTTGATAGATATAAGGCAATTTTAACAGTTGCTATGGAAGATACAAAGATACGTAATTCATAAAACAAATTTATATACACTCAGACACAAAAAAACGCAAAGGAGAAATTTTTTGTCAAATTTAAAGTGTTATTTTAAAAACTGAGTTTACGAATAAAAGGTAATTATATACAGCTTTATATACAGGATGAATTTCCTACGATGTTCTATATTGGTATCTCGGAAACTACTGGAGATAGAGAGTAGCTTAAATGGGGAAAGAACTGCAGTTTTGTGGGGTCATAAATATACGTCTTTCAGATTTTTGAAAAAGTTCATGGCTTACTAGATATTTCGAAAAAAACAAATTTTGGCTGTTTTAAAAATTGTCCCAAATTCCATTATGAGCTATTTTAAACAAAAAGTTTTCAGATAAAAGTTGTAGATAATTACATCCTTAATGAGATTGTGTCCTCCGTTTTTTTCTAAAGCCTGTCATTTTTAACATATGACACAAACATATGTTTTTTCAAATGGAAACCACAGTTGGCCATGACTTCATGAAAAGCGCAATTTTTTAAGCTTTTTAACGACATAAGCTATAATATGTTTTTTTTTTCGAAAAATTACTGAGTTAATTTACAAAGTTTGGATGTGACAGCTAGACATTTCTGAGGGCAAAGACGATTAAATTTGTTTCCATGGCTAACTAAGTGAAATTGTTTAGAAATTATAAAAATTGGCTATAACTCAGTAATTTTTCGAAGAAGACATATTATAGCTTATATCGCTAAAAAGCTCAAAAAATGGCGCTTTTTATGAAGTCATGGCCAACTATGGTTTTTATTTAAAAAAAAACATATGTTTGTGTCATATGTCAAAAATGGCAGGCTTTAGTAAAAAACGGAGGACACAATCCCATTAAGGATGTAATTATCTACAACTTTTATCTGAAAACATTTTGTCTAAAATAGCTTATAATGGAATTTTTAAAACAGCCAAAATTTATTTTTTCCGAAATATCTAGTAAGCCATGAACTTTTTCAAAAATCTGAAAGGCGCGTATTTATGACCCCACCAAACTACAATTCTTTCCCTATTTAACCGACTCTCTATCTCCAGTAGTTATCGAGATACCCATAGAGAACATCGTAGGAAACTCACCCTGTATATAAAGCTGTATATAATTACCTTTTATTCGTAAACTCAGTTTTTATAAGCTTTAGCATTTGGCATATTATACAGGGTTAAGAGGGTTTTTTTGCCCAAAGTTTAAAACACCCTGTGCAATAATTTTGTGTGTAAATTTTTCTAAAATATAATTTTACGGTCAGAACCATGTCTTCTGAGCATTTTGTTTATTTGGATCATGTCAATATGGTTAATTTTTAAGACCGAAATGAACTGATAACGATAATATTTTTCATAAAAGAGCTTGTACGATAATAAAAATTGTTTTTCTTGGGTTAGGATGGACAAGTCTTATTATACTTATTTTAAGAGTCAAAGCAATAAAGTATATAAAACTCAGCTAATTATTTAGTTGTATTCAGTATATCTGCATATTAAAACTAGTTTTTAAAAAGTTCAGTTAGATATATGATTTTTTAATTTTAAATCCATTAATATGATATCCCAATCTAGCATAAATAAAAACTGCTTCATAATTTACTAATATATTATAGGCAACAACCCTTATTTATCACTTTTTTATAAACCCTTGAATATTAAACATTTTTTATATTTTATATATAATAATTTATATTTATATATAAAAGTGTTAAATCAAGAATATTTACAATTAATTAATTTTGTATTACAATAATTTTTCGCCATGTTGTCAATGTGTCACAAATAGACTTAACTTTTGTGCTTGGGATACACTCTTATACTCTGGAGATATCATATGAGATTTAGATAATTAATAGCATCTATGATTTTTAGTATGTATATTTTACTTTAAAATATTTTGTATTTCTTGCTTTCTCCTTAACATATTTTTGTCGAAATACTAAAATTTGCTTTTTTGCAATTTAGAACATTTACCCAATTATCAAGATATTAAATTACGTATAATAATTAATGATCTTATTATATAACAAAGTTGTTATATAACGCGTAATTGTACTATTTAAATAATACCACAAAGGTTAATTATTATTAAACATTGCAATAATTTACTAAAATATCCGCTAAGGATTGGAATAATAGTATATTGTTTTATTAAGAGTAAAAATGAAACTTTTGTGGCAAGGCTGTATGTTTGACTAAAATGCCAAGAAGTAAATTGATAATAGAATTATTGAACACTAACAAAAATTATTTTTATATCATAACCGCATGGGACATGATTAACCGGTCTTTATTTTTTTCTTAGTGTAGCAATGCTATTAAATCAATCAGTTTTTTATAAACCCTTGAATACTAAATATTTTATATATTTTATATGTAATAATATAAAGTAATAAAGTGTTAAATCACGGATATTTATAATTAATTAAATTTGTATTACAAAATGTCTTTACCATTTCGTCAATGTGTCACGAATAGATTTCACTTTTGTGCTTGGGACACACTCTTGTACTCTGGAGATATCATTATGAGATTTAGATTATTAATAGCATCTATGATTTTTAGTATGCATATTTTACTTTAAATAATTTTGTATTGCTTGCTTTCTCCCTAACACATTTTTATCTAAATACTAAAATTTCCTTTTTTGCAATTTAGAGCATTCACCAATTTATCAAGATATTAAATTATGTATATTAATTAATGATCACATTATATAAGAAAGTTATTATATAAAGCATAATTGTACTATTTGAATAATACTACAAATGTTTATTATTATTAAACAGAGCAATAATTTACTAAAATATACGCCAAGAATTGGAATAATAGTATATTGTTTTATTAAGAGTAAAAATGAAACTTTTGTGGCAAGGCTGTATGTTTGACTAAAATGCCAAGAAGTAAATTGATAATAGAATTATTGAACACTAACAAAAATTATTTTTATATCATAACCGCATGGGACATGATTCACCGGTCTTTATTTTTTTCTTAGTGTAGCAATGCTATTAAATCAATCAGTTTTTTATAAACCCTTGAATACTAAGTATTTTATATATTTTATATGTAATAATATAAAGTAATAAAGTGTTAAATCACGGATATTTATAATTAATTAAATTTGTATTACAAAATGTCTTTACCATTTCGTCAATGTGTCACGAATAGATTTCACTTTTGTGCTTGGGACACACTCTTGTACTCTGGAGATATCATTATGCGATTTAGATTATTAATAGCATCTATGATTTTTAATATGTATATTTTAC